TCCCACCGCCATGAAGGTTCTCCTGCTCGTCTTCGCCCTCGTCGCCGCCGTCAGGTAGGTCCTCCTGTGCCGGTCCCTGCGTCCATGCTGCCATGATCTCAGGCTCCAGGAGAGACTCTGAATCCTATAGTGTTCCCTTGCTAAAGACTACTTTTTTCCCTATCCACAGCGCCCAGACGGAGCCCTGGTGCCGCTGCGCCGCCTTCGTCACCTACGAGCACTCGGAGATCATGGTGTTCGAAGCACCCGAAGTCACCATCGACTCCTGCACGGACGACGCCAAGCAGTGCAAGAACTCCTGCGCCAACGAGGTTTGCAAAGCCCTTGTGTGAGCGTCGCATGACTGATTCGAATGTCTTTTCACTTCTCTAGTTCAGCTGCTTTAGAAAGCAAAATAACTTACACGATTTCTTTGTGTTTGCAGCTGAACACCATGAGCAACAACGGCGACCTTTGGCTAGAGCTCGATTCTGGGGTCACCGTCGGCCAGAACATCTGCACCTACCTGGCTGACCACTTCTTCTTCTGGATGAGGAACCACAAGGTACACTCCTACCTTTGTCCTTTCGATAAACTGGGTTGAAATATTCACATAAGGAATGAAGTTTAAGGCCATTTTCTTGATGGCATTTTTATGCATAAAGAAAATAAGTGTGTAGCGATGAGGGAAAGGTGTCAGCGAGGGAAAGGGCCTTTGCCCAAGAGAGAATCCGTTGTAATCGCCCCCCCCCCCGCAGGTGTACGGCTACTACGAGGTGTGCGGCGGCGCCTGGCAGTACGCGGGCGTCGAGTCTCAGCAACTGCTGTGCTGCGACGGAGGCAAGCACGAGCACTGCATCGCCAAGTAGAAATAAGGCAGATTCCACTTGCAGGTGTTGCTTCTTCGGAGACTGCGCAAATAAAGACTCAAAAAGAACATCTGTGCCTCAGTTTCCTGCTGGCATTACACGCACAGACACACAAATGTATATATGAGTATGAATATATATATATGTATACATGTATATTCATATATGTAAATATATACATACATATAAGCATATGTGAATATACGTATAGTATATATGTACATATATATTTATATGTATATGTATATGTATGTATATACACATATGTACACACATATGCATGCGTAGTTTCTAAACATATACATACATATACATGAAGACACACACACACACACACACACACACACACACACACACACACACACACACATATATATATTCATATGTGTATAGATATATACATTAATATATCTATATATATATCTATATATATTTATATATATATACATACATATATATATATATATATATATTTATATATATATATATATATATATATATATATTATACACACACAAACACATACGCATATGTATATACACACAAATATATACACAAACAATATATATACATATATGCTTATATAAGTATACATACATGCATACATATATACTCATGTATACACACACACACACACACACACACACACACACACACACACACACATATATATATATATATATATATATATATATATATATATATATATGCTTATATATGTATACATACATACATATACAATCGCATATATATGTATATATGCATATACACACACACACACATATATGTACATATGTATATATATATATATATATATATATATATATATATATACATATATGTTTATATGTATGTCTACATATGTATATATATAAATGTATATATACATATATATATACACACACATATATATGTGTGTTTGTGTAAATATGTATCTATAGATGTTATATATGTATATATGCATGTGTGCGTGTATATGTATGTATATGTTTGTGTATCTATGCATATATATCTACATATGTATTTATATATTACATAAACACACATATATGTATATATGCATATATACAAATACATACATATGTTTATATGTATATATATGAATATGCATACACACATATACTGTATATATATTATATAGATATATACATATATATTGTTTTATCTATTTATCTATCCCTGTATATACTTATCTATCCATTCATGCACAAGCATACACACACACACACACACAAACATATATATAAACGATATACATATACTATATATATATATATATATATATATATATATATATATATATATATATATATATATATATATATATATAAACTCATTCGTTTCATTTCCTCCTCTGTAATCCATTATTCCCTTTACCGAATATTTTTTTTCAGTCCACTGAATGAATCTAATTTCATAACTTGATTGTGATTTCTTTCCCCCGGCTCTCCCCCGACCCTTTCCAACACTCTCCCAGGGGTACGTGGATTTCAGGCAGCTGCCGTGTGAATCGTAAGAGGGACACGTGCAAAGGAATGGTCCGGATTGAATGTTTATAATGATGCATAGGATAATTTTACAGGGATGGGTTAGTGATTTCTCTCTGGGGTGGGGAGTGAGGGGCGAGAATGAGGTGATTGCGTTTTTGAGATGAAGGAGTGTAGGTGACTTCTTTCTCGTGGTTCTCTCTCCTTTCCTCTTTTTCTTAGCCTTCTCCTTTCTCTCTCTCTCTCTCTTTATCTCTCTCAATTCCTCGATATCTAAATCTGTCGAAGCATAGTGACAGTTTAGGTATTCTTTTTTCATGCGATAGATATCGGGGTCAGTTTTTGCCTGCACTGATATGAGGGCATATTTAGAATATAAAAGAGGACAAACATCTCCCTGAAGCCGTCAATTCGCCTCCCTCCGCCATGAAGGTCCTCCTACTCGTCTTCGCCCTCGTCGCCGCCGTCAGGTAGGTCCTCCTGTGCCGTTTCTCGGGAGGAACGTAGAGGCGCACGACAAACCGACTGCTCAGAGGAGTCCTCTGTGGTGCGTCCTTGCTGCCGTGACCTCTGGCTGCAGAACAGACTCTCTGAATCCTATAGCAGCGCCTTCTTGCTAAAGACTACTTTTTTTCCATCCACAGCGCTCAGACGGAGCCCTGGTGCCGCTGCGCCGCCTTCGTCACCTACGAGCACTCGGAGATCATGGTGTACGAAGCACCCGAAGTCATCATCGACTCCTGCGTAGACGACGCCAAGCAGTGCAAGAACGCCTGTGTCAAGGAGGTTTGCAAAGCCCTTGTGTGAGCGTCACATGGCTGATTCAAATGCCTTTTCACTTCTCTAGTTCAACTGCTTTAAAAGGCAAAATCAATTACACGATTTCTCTGCGTTTGCAGCTGAACACCATGAGCAACAACGGCGACCTTTGGCTAGTGCTCGACTCTGGGGTCACCGTCGGCCAGTACATCTGCACCTACCTGGCCGACCACTTCTTCTTCTGGATGAGCAACCACAAGGTAAACTCGTCTTGGCGATAAACTAAATTGATTAGTCACACTTGAGACAAAGTTGAGACCTTCCCAACGAGAGAGCTTCTCTGTGCACAAGGAAGTGATTGTGTTTCGATGAGGGAAAGGACCTATACCAGAGAACTCCTTTTAATCGCACTCCTACTCACTCCCGCAGGTGTACGGCTACTACGAGGTGTGCGGCGGCGCCTGGGAGTTCACGGGCGTCGAGTCTCAGCAGTTGCTGTGCTGCGAAGCAGGCAAGCACGAACACTGCATCGTCAAGCAGTAATAAGGCGGATAAGGCTTGTTGGTGTTGCTTCTTAAGCGATTGCGCAAATAAAGGCTCTGAAATAACATTTGTACTTCAGTTTCCTTCTGGCAATAGCAAAGCGAATCATTTCGCTGTAGTTTCATGGTCAGTTATGCTGAATTCATGCTTAAAGGAAATCTTGTCATTCGATTATCAAAGAAGAGATCCATATTCTACTCAATATATACAGTACATATACGCATATACTCATGCGTACCAATAAATATACATATATACATACACACATATAAACATCATTCAGTTACTGTCTACTGTTCAGGTGAATCCAAATCAGTCTCTAAACTGGAATATATTTATTTAGGTTCGGTCTGCAAGAAAACTATGTGTCATGAAACAGCATCCATAGTTAACTGCAAATTTCCTGACAAATAACCCATCACCTAAGATCTAAATTCCTTTGTAAGTTTCTCCCTACATTCTTTATTGTTTATCAGTCTTCAATTCAGCCCAAAGACGCCCACTCCCCCCCCCCCCCCCTTTGAACACGGTAACGCGAAATCCATCCTTCTCCTTAGTAGTGGAGATGCGCCACTGATAACAAATCGCGGGAGAAACGAAAAGCGTATTAACTGCGAAATGGCTAACAAGGTTGAGAATTGGACGCATGAGATTGATCCATGGGTGCGTGTTTGTCTTTACATAATGTATATTGCAGAATGATTTATAAATGGCTACGCAGCACGTGTCGATAGATATGGGTCAATCCTTCTTGTTTTGCGCCCACGACTGCCCACTTCGGGAGTGCAGCCATATCCTAGGGGCACAGACCCATATTAAATGCAGCAGACCTGGATTAAACGTTTCTTATTATGCCATCATAACTAGACATTTTCAACATATAACAAATGAGGAATGTGTATGTTACACTAATTTCCGCCACTCATGTTATTTATTACTTGTATTACGGGTATGCCATTTCAGCAGTTGAAATGCAACGCGGCCAGCATCTGCAAGCCGCAATGGTGGCGTGAATACTGTAGCAAAATTATCCTTCGAACCGGATTCGAACCAGTGACCTATGGATGTCTGCTTCACAACCAACTACAGTCCACCGCTCTACCAACTGAGCTATCGAAGGAGCTGACTATTACAGACACCACTTCCAGCTTTCCCTTCCTCTACCTCGCCTCCACCGTCGCGTGCCGCTCACTCGCTCCCAACGGCGACGGTTTCATGTCCAAGATTATGACTTATACTTTTGGTTAAGTCTGGACATTGTTTGGATGGGGGAATTTTGATATTAAACATAAGTGCTTATTATTTGTTAATATTTCTGTCATTCCTTTGATGTTTATTTCCTTTAATGCTTCATGAAAAATTAGAAGCTTCCAAAAGGTAATGTGTATATAATGTTAGACTGTTACACAACTAAAATAATCTTCGCATGGTAACTTCAAAAATCATATGCAATCAGTGTATGGATACTCGTTGCGCTTGTAGAACCTATTGTTATACTTTTACGTGCACAGTATGAATTCACTAGCATGTACTTTAGTTCTGATGTACTTACAAGTGTGTATCTTGTATTTTGATTGTTTATGATGTATTTCAGAATACATTTGTGAGGAAAGGTTGTTGTTTTTCAGACTCGCTACTGTGAAAAACATATCCCAGGGAGGACTTGTCATGAATAGATTTCAGAGCAACCACTGACAGCCTGTTGCGTAGCATTCATGCCTCCTAACATTCCTTACCGTAGTACAGATGATTCTTAACCCGGACTGGAAACTGCCACCGTTGGGAGCGAGTGAGCGACGCGCGACGGTGGAGGCGAGGAAGAGGAAGGGAAAGCTGGAAATGATGTCAATTGATGTCAGTTCCTTCGATAGCTCAGTTGGTAGAGCGGTGGACTGTAGTTGGTTGTGAAGCAGACATCCATAGGTCACTGGTTCGAATCCGGTTCGAAGGATAATTTTGCCTTTATGTTCACCGGCGCTATTGCGCCTGACAGGTGTTGAGTGAGTTTCATTTTAACTATGAACTATTAAAATTGCGTACCCGTAGAACAAGTAATGAAAGACGCGAATGGGATGAGGATTAAAGATAAACCAATATAAAATGGGTTCCTGGTAATGGCTAAGGGTCAATTCACTCTACACCGAACGAACGCATGTCTGAAACAGACACGGAAGAATTGTTAGCAATAATGGACGAGGAAACTGATCAATA